CAAGCCGCTAGTGAGGTTGATGGGGGTGCCACTCAAGGAGACCAGCAAAGGGATAAGTTACGACAGGGAGTTAAGCATTTGTTGGGCCCTTAACACTTTTTTGGCCTGTGTGCAGTCGTTTATTGCAGTTGCAGCTGCTGTCTGGCTAGCACTTTCCACGTGGTACGCCCAGTACGAGGCGCCTTCCTACAATTACCCATTTAATCCTCACAGCAGCCTTCAAAGGTTTATCGTTTGTTTATTTATGTCTTAGTCTCGGGTTCTAACTTGCAAGCTCCCCTGAGGCAAGGTTGTTTACCTGTCCCTTTCATCCTTACCTTCACTAGCCCAGGACGTGCACAGTTGGAGCTTCAAACGTTTTTAAATTGGGAGAAGGTGAGCTTTGCTGTGTGGGAGAGTTTAACCAGGCTTGTTTGGCAAGGTGGTCCCAGGGGTTTGGAAAATTAAATAGAGCTACCTTCTCCCTTTTTATTTTGCTTTTGCTTTTTTTGAATAAACATTTACTGAGCACCCCGAAAAGTTGTTAGCTTGTCTGCTCAAGGGCAGAATACGGAACAAGCCCTGCTTTTGATAGAAAGGTAAATATACTTAACACTACAGGCATCTGGAGTCAAGTATGCCAAGTTTTGGGAAAGGAAAAGTAACAGTCCCTTATAGATGCATAGTACTCAGCCCCTCTGAGTCCGTTTCCTCATCTGTACAATGGGAATAGTAATACCTCAGGGGGCTGTTGGAATTGAGTTTGAATAGGCCATTCTGTCACCAGTGGTTGGCAGCTTTGGTTACATGTTGAAATCACCTGGGTCTCACCCTAGAATTTCTGATGTAATTGCAGGTAAGACCTCAGTATTAGGAGTTATAAATTTACGCAGGTGATTCTAAGGGCAGCTGAACTTGAGAGCCATTGTTGTATACCACCCCAGGTTAATTTTCTTAATCTCTTTTCAGTTGTCATTCTCGCTGCTTAAGAATGTGCACTGGCTCCAAGTGTAAATCAGCCTTCGCATCCCAAAACCCCTGACAGCTGGCCCAGTTCTTCCTATACATCTGTGTGTGCTTCACACATGGTCCTCTTTTAGGCCAGTCTTCTTACCATGCCCTGTCTCCTTGCCTTACTAACATCTTATCTTCCCTGGCATTGGGGCTTTGAGCAAATGACTTGCTCTCCCTAGGCTTCAGTTTCCTTGTCCGTGAAATGAGCATAGTAGTACCCATGTGTGTAGCATATGGCACAGTCAGTGCCTAGCAAGTTGTACCTACTGATGATGGTTACCAATTTTACTCACATCCCACATCTTACATCATGCTGTTCTCCTATCATGGTGCTAAAGAAACATTTCTTAAATGCCTATTGCAGATATGGAGAATAGCGAATTCAGTCCTTTCTCCTTGGCTGTGCGTTCCAAGTTCAGCACAAGACAAGTCTTCCACAAAACTGTGAAACTAGAGATTATCTGGTTTGTCTTATTGAATTTTTTTAAATGACAGCTTTATTGAGAGATCATTCACATACCATAAAATTCACCCTTGTACAATTCAGTGATTTTAATATATTCACAGAGTTTTGCAGCCATCACCATCACTGCAATCTAACTTTAAAACATTTTCATCACTCCAAAATAAACCCCATAACTATTAGCAGTCACTCCCCATTTCTCCCTTCCCCTAACACCTGGCAATCACTCATCTACTTTATATCTCTATGGTTTTGCCTATTCTGGACATTTCACATTAGTGGTCTTATACAATATGTGGTCTTTTGTGACTGGCTTCTTTTGCTTAGCATAATGCTTACAAGGTTCTTGTACATTGTGGCGTGTATCTGTACTTCATTCCTGTATTGCTGATGATATTCCATTCTATGGATAGACCACATTTTGTTCATTCATCTATTGTGGACATTTGGATGTTTCACCTTTTGGTTATGAATAATATGCTGTGAACGTTCACCTACAAATTCTTACGTAATCGTACTTTTTCAGTTCTCTTGTATCTATGCTTAGTAGTAGAATTGCTGGATCATGTGGTTACTCTGTTTAACATTTGAGTAACTTCCAGACTGTTTTCCAGTCCTGTTCAATTTGAAGATGAAGAAACTGGGCTCAGAGAGCTGAAGTGGGTTGTGCAAGGTCACATGATAATAATGGCAGCTTTGCATATATGGGAGACCTACTGTGAGCCAAATTCTTGGTGTGCATGCTGTCACATGGGCAGAGGTGACACTAGATCCCGAATTTTGAGGTTTTGTGAAAAACAGTGTTTTGTGGCAGGAACCCTCCTATCACACACACTTGGGTTGGAGTACAGAGTTCTTGCTGTCAAGTGTCATAGCTCATTCCTGCTTTTTTTAGAGTATAACAGCAATCTGAAAGGGAAAATCCTGAGCAAACCAGGCAAATTAAAATATAACTTTTCATTTTTGCTTATTTGACAGAATTTAATTGCAAGTCCTTGAAGTTAGCCATTAAACGTTTTCTCTTTTTTTTAAATCCCAAATGTAATATGTACAAGTCAAATACTAATCAGAGGTTAATTTATAAAAATGAAAATCTCATAAAACTCCAAATCGTTCCTGGAAATCCCTAAAAGTTCCTCACTAGAGACCCACATCCTGCCTCAAAAAAGCCAACACAGCATTGTTTATTTTGCTTTGGAATAAATTGCCGTTTCTTCAACTGAATGCTAAATGCAGTAGTTGGCTTGGGTTGAGGGATAAGTCGGCGAGTGAAAATCTAGTTAAAATGTCCCTGGAAGAAAATTTCTTGATTGCCCATTAACGCGCAGTGTGCAGGGTTTTGTTATGAACACTATACAGCAATATGTGTGCAGATGTGTGTGTATATATACAATGTGTACTGTCGTGCTTGGTATGTAATTCCATTGGGGGGTCTTATTTAGAAATTATTCTAGCGTTTTGCTGCTTGGAATACTTTGGCAATACTATGAAGGTTCCAACTTGCTGATTCTTATTTTTCATAGTTATCTTTGTAATTGATCTCTTCCTTTGTGTTTTTCTTTGTCCTCATTTAATTCCTCAACTTCTTTGTGAGAGTAGCTAAAGGTATCATCACACATTGGACGAGGCTCTTAATTTCTTTTTAATGGTTATGAACCCTTAAAACCGCTCGCCTTCCTTCCTCAGGTTTTGCACCTTCCTCAGCTGTTTCAGGCTTGGGTGTGTCCACCCAGTGGGGTGCTGCATGTGGGAGTGTAGTGAGCACGTAAATCACCAGTCTTACTTTTATCCTTTTGAGGGCTTGGAGCCGTGTAGGTTAAACGTGGGTGATGGGCCGGCCCCGTGGCTTAGTGGTGTGCGCGCTCCGCTGCTGGCGGCCTGGGTTCGCATCCCGGGCGCGCACTGATGCACTGCTACTCCGGCCATGCTGAGGCCGCGTCCCACATACAGCAACTAGAAGGATGGCAGCTATGACATACAACTATTTACTGGGGCTTTGAGGGAAAAATAAATAAATAAATAAAATTAAAAAAAAAAAAAACAAACACGTGAGTGATGCAGCTCTGCTGTATCTTCAAGCACCAGATATGTTCTCAGCTGAAATCACGCCCAGTCCCAGGACTGAGGGAGCAGCAGGTTCAAGTCTCCCGTCTTATTTCAGGGCATCTGCTTGTAGAGTGGAGTGGCTGGCCCAGTCTCATGCACTGTTTACTTCTTTCTTTCTCTTGCGTCGGATTGTTACCCTCAGTTAAATGCATCTGCTGTGGCTCTATGTCTTTATCGTACAGTACACTCAACTTTACTTCCTTCCTTTAGCCCTTATTGAACTGCAGCCTGTTGTGCTACCTCCGACTTGCTTTTGTATCATTGTGTGCTTGTTTTGTCTCCTAGGGTTGAGTGTAAGGCCTGGAAGGGAGAGGTACTGACTTCGGCTTCCTTTACTCCCTTGTAGTGCTGGGTGCACAGTAAGTAATTTCACAATTGTCCATAACCCTTCAGCTTCTAGCCCTGAGAAACAGAGAGCCCTCAGAAAAAAGGGACAGATGCTGCCTGTGCTTGCAGCAGAACCGGAGAGAAGAGCACGGGCTTTGGAGTTAACAAACCTGGGTCATCCATTGCCACCACTCTCTAGGGCTTTATATGAAATCTCACTAACTTGACTCTGTTTCCTCATCTGTAGAATGGTGTTGATAGTGCTTACCCGTTAATAACAGTTATAGCAAATACATGCATAGCACTCAGCGCGTGCCGGGTACTGTTCTAAGCACTCTATGGGTTTTAACTATAAGATAGAGTCTCTTTTTATCCTTATTTTGCAAATGAGGAAACCAAAGCACGGAGAGATTAGGTAACTTTTGCCCAAATTCACACGGCTAGGAAGTGGTGAAGCTGATCCCAACCCTGGCCGTCTGGCTTAGAGCCCCTACTCTTAGCCGCTGGCCTTTGGTGGTACATGATAGGCCCTTAAAGTGACAGCTGCTACTGTTATTGTTGTTATTATTTATTAATTCACCTTAAAAATTGGAGAAGATAGACCTAATATTTGGAATGTATTTTAAGGTCCTTTTTTGGAAAATGAAGTACTCACTAGATTGAATTCTTTGAGGACAGAGTCTCTTTTGGTTTTATCTGTGGATGCCCGGCACGCCTGATTACTAGGAGCCCCTGTAGGTACTCAGTAACTGTCGGCCTAGCCAAAGAATGGGAGTGATCCTAACAGGCAGCAATCCCATTGTGCTTGCTTTCAGGAGACCTTTGCAGAGCATTACGACTTTGGGCATGTCACTTGGCCTCAGTCTTGTCGGCTATAGTTAGAGAGGCATTGTTGTGAGAATTAATGGTGATATTCTAGGTGGGTGGGGTTTGCACTGCTTGTACAAAGTAGTCTCACTGTGTCTTTTAGTTCACTGCTTTATAAATATTTTATTATTCCCCGCAGACCACAAAGTTTTCTGAGCCTGGGTATAAATGCTCTTGTATTTTTGATCAGTGTAGCTATTGATTGACTGTCTTTCTTTCTTCTTATTGTCTACTCTTTAAAGAACAGTTACCCTTGAAAAATGGCGGAAGCAGTTTTCCATGCCCCAAAGAGGAAAAGAAGAGTATATGAGAATTATGAGTCTCCATTGCCAATCCCTTTTGGTCAGGACTGTGGTCCTAAGAAAGAATTCAAGATATTCCGTGCCGAAATGATACACAACAATGTAATCGTGAGGGATGCGGAAGATATTGAGCAGCTGTATGGGAAAGTAAGTGCAGGTGGTCTTGTTGTGGCTACTTCCTGACAGCCCTCTCTCCTTCTCCCTGTCCCATCCACCTCCCAAAACAGACCATAGATGACGTGTATTCTTTACTTGCAGTTTGGTCCAGTGTAGGAACAGTGCAACTTGAATCAGGTGCCCCAAAGCCATACGTTATGAGGATAACACCCCCACCTGCAAACCCACAATCCAGCAGTGTAGTAGGGTCAGTGTATTGACCGTTCTTGTCTTTCAATTATAAAAGCAATGCATGTTCACTGTAAAAAAAAAAACAAACAACATTTTGAGCACTTTACAGAAATGTAATGGGTAAAAAGTTGAAATTCCCCGCTCACTCCCATTCCATCCCCAGAGGTAGCCGCAGAGCAGCATATTGTTCTGGCTTGTGGACAAATCAGATGAGGCTGCAGCATGGACTCTGGCTCCTTGTCTGCTCTCTCTCTTGGTTGGGGACCTCTTCTTAGGTGAGGATGAGTTCTAGTTTTTGCTGTTTTCCATCAGTGACAGGTTTGGGTTGAAATTGTTAGCTTGCTTTTTTTTGTTTTGTTTTCTTTTTACCCCATAGCCAATTCATCACTAGGGGCATTTTTTTAAACAGCTTTATTGAGGTTTAATTTACAGCTGTAAAATTCACTCATTCTAAGTGTACAATTCAATGACTGCAGTAAATTCATAGAGTTGTGCAACCACCACCACAATCCAGTTTTAAAGCATTCTCGTCACCAAAAAATTTCCTTTGTGCCCGTTGCACTTAATCCCTGCTCCCACTCCCAGCTGAGGCATGCACTGATTCACTTCCTGTCTCTATAAATATGCCTTCTCGGGATGTTTCATATATGATATACATGTTTTAGCCACCTTCCCTGGTGGGATGTGGGTGGCATTGACCCTGGTGAGGTGGGGGTTTAGGCTAAGGGCAGTCTCTCTCCACATTCACGATGTGTAACATTAAGCAAGAGGCTTTGTGAAATACTTGATACATTATTTATTCTAATTGTTAAATCTAGGTGGAGGGTAAAGGGTGTTCATTTTATTATTTCAATTTCCTATGGGTTTAAATATTTTATAATTTTAAAAAATAAGGGGAGAAAATCAGTGTTGTTTTGGAATCGGTGGGAAGGAGAGGAATACTTCACTTCTGGGACCCAGAGAATCCGAGAAGTGTTTTATGCCTGATGAGCTGGGCTCCTGCTTTCGGGCACGGTGCTCCTGACCCTGGAGGGAAGAAGGAAGCCTGCCTCAGCCCGCCCCGTTGCCTTCAGCTTACCAGACCTAGAGTGAAATCGTTGGTTTCGAGGCAAATGAGATGTACTAAAAATTTGCTAATGCTCTTCAAACCATCAGAAAGATAAATGCTGAGATCTTCATTAGTAATCATCAATTAGAGGGAAGATGTAAAACTGTGAAAAGTAGAATGAATCTCTTGTTAACTCAAATAGTTATTCTCCCTCAGATAAAATATTGGTAACTAAACGTGAGCTAACTTTGTTTTCTCTCTTCCCGGAAGGGTTATTTTGGAAAAGGTATCCTGTCTAGAAGCCGGCCAAACTTCACAATTTCAGATCCTAAGCTGGTTGCCAAATGGAAAGGTAAACTTGTGCATCATTCAGTTTTTTTTGGCAGATTATCATTTTCTTTCATTTTTGACCTTACACCTCAGATTATATAGTAAAATTCTAGAGAAGTAACTTGCACATTGGCAATTTTACTGCTAAGAATAGCAACTAGAATAATTCTAATGAAGGTGGAAGGGTTCTTATGATTGGTGAAAATGTGTTTTATCTAGTTTCTGGAATTATCAAAAGTGTTATTCAGGCTTTTTTGTTGTTAAGCATTGCCTAGCAGAGTACCGTGCATGTGGAAGGTACTGATAATTAAGTACTTGCTCACCTGTATGCAAAATGAGTTTTATATTTTATCTCTAGAATTAGAATTTACAGCACTAACCTCATGACATTGATGTATTTGTTACAACATACTAATGTGTGTAGGCACCTACTGGTCCTCTTTTCTTTAATTTACAAATCTTTTAGTGTATTTCTCTAAGAAGTCTCATGGTAATTATATAACCAATTCCAGCAGGTTAAAACATGATTAGAAAGGATTTTTTAAAACATTATAAGAAAAAATACAAACTAAAATTGCACTGAGATACCATGTTAGCAGATTGACAAAAATCCAAAAGTTTGACATTATGCTTCATTGCTGAGACCTAAGAAACACACTTGTGCATTGCTGGTGGGAGTGTACATGGTACAACCGTTCAGAGGGGAATTGAGCAATGTCTAGCAAAATTATATATACATTTTCTTTCTCCCCCCACCTTCCATCCCTCCCTAACCCTTGGTAACCTTAATATGCTTTCTGTGCCTATGATTTTGCCCATTCTAGATATGTCATATAAATAGAATCATACTTTATGAGGCCTTTTGTGTCTTTTTTTTTTTTTTTTTTTTTGTGAGGAGATCAGCCCTGTGCTAACATCCGCCAATCCTCTTCTTTTTTTGCTGAGGAAGACGGCCCTGGGCTAACATCTGTGCCCATCTTCCTCCACTTTATATGGGACGCCGCCACAGCATGGCTTGCCAAGCAGTGCGTCGGTGCGCGCTCAGGATCCGAACCAGTGAACCCCGGGCCGCTGCAGCGGAGCGCGCGCACTTAACCGCTTGCGCCACCGGGCCGGCCCCAGGCCTTTTGTGTCTTTTACTTAGCATAATGTTGTCAAGGTTCATCCATGTCGTAGCATGTGTCAGAACCTCGTTCCTTTTTATGGCTGAGTAATATTCCTTTGTGTGGGTATACCATGTTTTGTTTATCTATTCATCCATTGATGGACATTTGGGTTGTTTCTACTTTTTGTCTGTGAATAGTGCTGCTATGAACATTCATTTACAAGTTTTTGTGTCCACATAGGTTTTCATTTCTCTTTGGTACATACCTAGGAGTGGACTTGCTGGATTATATGATACTTCTATTTTAATTTCTTGAGGAACTGCCAAACTGTTTTCCACAACACTTGCACCATTTTACATTCCCATCAGCAATGCACAGAGTTTCAATTTCTCTACATCCTCGCCAACACTTGTTATTATCTGTTTTGTGTGTGTGTGTGTGTGTGTGTGTTTTGGTGAGGAAGATTGGCCCTGAGCTAACATCCATTGCCAATCTTCCTCTGTTTTTGCTGAGGAAGATTGGCCCTGAGCTAACATCTGTGCTTATCTTCCTCTATTTTGTATGTGGGACGCTGCCACAGCATGGCTTGATGAGTGGTGCATTGGTCCATGCCCGGGATTTGAACCTGCGAACCCAGGGCTGCCGAAACAGGGTGCGCGAATTTAACCACTACACCACCAGGCTGGCCCCTTGTGTTTGTTTTTGATAATAGCCATCCTAATGAGTGTGAAGTGATAAAAGTTTTTAATTTTAATGAAATCCATTTTATCTATTTTTTCTTTTGTTGCTTGTGCTTTTGGTATCATATTTAGGAAACCATTGCTAAATCCAAGCTCGTGCAGATTTTCCCCTATGTTTTCTTTTAAGAGTTTTATAGTTTTAGCACTTAAATTTAAGTTTTTGATCCATTTTGAGTTAATTTTTGTATAAGGTGGGAGATAAGGGTCCAGCTTTATTGTCTTGCCTGTGGACATGCAGCTGTCCCAGTATATGCATTTACTTTTTTTTTTTTTTTTTTTGCTCAGGAAGATTTGCCCTGAGCTAACATCTTTTGCCAGTCTTCCTCTTTTTGCTCAGGAAGATTCACCCTGAACTAACATCTGTTGTCAGTCTTCCTCTATTTTGTATATGAGCCACCGTCACAGCATGGCCACTGATAGACGAGTGGTGTAGGTCTGCACCTGGGAGCTGAACCTGGGCCACCAAAGCAGCGGGCACTGAACTTAATCACTAGGTCACCGAGGCTGGTGCATTTACTTTTAACCCAGCAATCTCACTTTGAGGAATTTATTTTAAAGATATACTGGCAAATATATGAAAAGAAGTAGCACAAGGCTATTTACTGCAATGCTATTTCTAATATTAGAAAACTGGAAGCAACCCAAATGCTCATTAGGAGGGGACCAGTTGAATAAACTATAGTGCATTCATATAATGACATACTGCAAAGCTGAGCTAGAAATGAGGGATCACTAGGATACATTTTTTAAGCGAAGAAAGCAAGATAAAGGAAAGTCTACGTGGTGTGCTATGGTTTACCTGGAGGGGATATAAATATATTTTTGAAATATAAGGAAAGATAAACCATAGTTTTTAAAAAAATGCTGTGGCGGACAGATGGAACAAGGTGGAGAGAGAGGTGAGACTATAGATTTGACTTTGGAACCTACTAAACGTATTACATGATTACAAAACAAAGTTAAATTTTAAAAAGTAATTCTTTAAAAAAGAACACAACTCAACCTCTGTATATCAAGTTGGTGGTGTAGCCACACATGGCGAAACTATTTTGAGTGACTTTAAAACTTGGTAATTTGACTGTTCAATCCTAATGGGATAGATGTTGTGTTAGTTATCTCCTGCCACAGTGCTGTTTAACAAACCACTCCAAAATTCAGTGGCTTTCAGCAGCAACGAAATGGCTCACAAGTCTTCAGGTTTGCTGGGTAGGTCTCCTGATCTTGGCTGGTTGTGCTCATCCATCTGGTTAGTTGTGGGTGAGCTGGCTGCTCTAATGGATCTAGTCCAGTAATGGATCTGACTGGACTCACCAGTGTCTGGTTGCCAGTTGGCTGTCAGCTGGTCCAGGATGGCCTCAGCTCGGGGGTGGGGTGGGCACTGTGTGCCTCATCCTCTAGCAGGCCAGCCAGGCATGTCCTCATGGCTATGGTGGAGGGTCGAGAGCAAGCCCCACTGTGCCAGGGCTTCTTAGGCCTCTGTTGGCATCATGTTTGCTAGTATTCCGCTGGCCCGGAGTCAAGGGATTTGGCAGATGGGAGACCTGAAGAATTGGGGCCATCAATGTAATGAACTGCCATGTACTCTAAAGAAAGAGCTGCAAAATAATCTTTACATTGTTTTCAGCAATCATTTTAGAGGTGGGAGTGTTGGCACTGTTATTCTGAGACTGTTGTATCTATCTTGTTTGATGAAGCAAATGAGTAATTATGTTGGCGTGGTTGAGAGCCAGGATTTTTTGCATGAAACATAGTGTACCAGGAAGCAAGGAAGCTATCAAAAACGACTAGGCTTGTTTCAGAAGAGGCTCCTACTGGCCAAAGATGGAAACATTTGAGCATCAATAAGAATAATACTGCAGTTTATTTTAAAATCCATTCATCCATAATATTACCCCCAAAATGCTTGAATCTTTTAGTTCATACTGATACCTCTCTCCCTCTACCCCCAATTGTCAAAAGAAATTCATTGTTCACCTGTGGAGGATTCATTATTTTGAAAACTGGGAAACATGAACTGGTCTTGGGGTAACTGAATAGTTAGCAAGGGGTTGGTTCTCTTTCTAGAAGAATCCCCACTAATAAGGAATTATGAGATTAGAATATCACTGTTTTGCAACCTCTGATGAATTATTAGATCTAGACATTGATCAACAATGGTGCTGATGACATAAGAAGAGACAACAAGACGTTTTGTGTCTTCTAATGGAAACGTGTGGCACCACCTGTGAAGTAGTCTTCCTCCAAAATTGTACTTGAATCTGATCAAGCCTCTGGATCCACCAATTCACAGGAACACAGAGGGCAGAGGAGCGCGTTAGACCAGTGCTGCTCAGAGTACTGACACGCAGCAAGACCTTTGCACCAGAATGGAAATCAGCCTACAGCTTCCTCCTCTGTGAAGGCGAGGTGAGCTGAACTAAGCAGTGTACTAAGTGAGACGGTGGCTTAAAGGTGGGCACAAGCCCCTCATCTCTTCTTGGACTGTCCACAAGCAGTCTGAGGACAGCAGCGGGCCTGTGACCACCTTTGGGTAACACCATGTTAACAGCACAGTAGGGGTATAATCATCTGAAGCCAGACTGGGGGAAGGTCTACAGGACAGAGGACCCATCTCTTCAACAAATGTATTACAGAGAAAAAAATCATGGCTGGGAAGCCTGTATATTAGAATCAACTTATGACATAGCTATTGCAAGGTATGGGCCTTATTTGGATTTTGAGTCAAACAGACTTTCCAAAAAAGAAAAAAAATATGAGACAATGCTTAGATTTTAGATGGTGCTAAGGAATTGATATTAATTTTTACAAGTGTGATATGGTATTTGATTCAGTGTGATAGAAATACATACTGAACTTTTTAGAGATGAAATGATATGAGGGGTCTGTTTCAAAATGATCTGGGGGCCAGGGGAGTGGACGGAAGACCAGATGAAGAGAGATTGGCCATGAGTTAATTGTTAAAGCTGAGTGATGGAAACGTGGGAATTTATTATACTGTTCTCTCTACTTTTGTATGTTTTTGAAATTTTTTATAGTAAATGTTTTAAAAAGAGAAAAAAAAAGTAGAGCAAATAGCATAATGGCCCTGCCTATACCCATCACACAGCCTCAGCCGTTACTAATATTTGGCCAAAAAAATAGAAAGTTTTCAAATAGTGTAATAATTTTAACAATTGTGAATCTTTTCCTGATCTATGTAGTCTCTATGTTTTAAATAGTGATAGAAATTTGAAGGAAATGAAGTTATGCCAAGGAAACAGAAATTAAGGTTGTGGGCTGCCCTAAAAAGTAAATCTCAAATGTCCATTTTAGGAGGTTCTCAAAACCTGGCTTCAGCCTCGTCTTCCACCTCCTCTCTGCCCACTATCTTCTGCTCGTTGGCACTGTAGCCACCTTGGGCTGCTTGCCATCCCACAAAGCTATCGTGACTTCGTGTCTCTCAGCCTTTGTGCGTGGTTTCCTCTGCCTGTTTTCCCCGGGTCCACCTGGTGAACTCTTATTCATTCTTCAGAGCCCAGTTCAATTATTCTTCCTTTTTGTGTTTTTTCCTAACCTTTCCGGGTAAAGTTGTCCCTTTACAATACTTTACTTGGTCCTATATCAGCTTGGGTTAGAATCAGTCATTTCTGGTCTGTCTTCCCAGTTAGACTGTGAGTATCTCAAGGAGAGGGAATTTGCTTTGGTTCTTCTGCCTCTCTAGTGCTGGCACATGGAAGGCTGTCACTAAACTTGTTAAATTGTTGTTTGCTGTTAAATTACCAGAGGAAGGAGGTCATGACACTGAGAAAACTGACAAATCCCTAAGGAGGTAGGAGTCTGTGACCTCACTTTCCTAGAGTTTTAAAGCTGAACGTCATCTTTTCCAAGCCTTTAACGTGCCAGAGAGGAGGCTGAGTTTGGGAAAGCAGAGATGATTTGCCTAAAGGCAGGGTCAGGGAGGATCAGGACTAAAACTCAGACCATTGGGTGACTTGATAAACACGTTAGGTAGAAAGAATCTTCCCACCAGATCCTCAGAGCTAGAATGAGAGCCCAGAATTCCCAGATCCACACCCAAAACTAACACCGTATGAAATGTACTTTTCCAACCCTTTAGAGGCACGTGTGAGGAGCTTTCACTGAAGATGCTTTATGGAGCAAGGGCGGATGGGGACAAAGTATACAACTTTAGGGCCTCAATATTCCCGTCTAAAAGTTGAGGGAGTGAGCATTCCGAGGTGGTGGAGAGGTTTCCTCTTGCATGCCATCGCTGCTTGGCTGGAGTGCTGAGTTGAGAAGGATTCTGAGGTCTTACACCCCAGTCAGGGGGTGCGATTGGTCAGCGGGGCCAGCAGGGGTGTGGCTGCAGGGAGTGGCCGTGTGTAAAGCATGAGTTTGCCGTTGGTGCACGGACAGGCTTCATCACCTCCTAGATGTGCGATTTGGTGAATCTTGAAATTCTCTTTGTCTTTTCCAGATTTTCAGTGTTTTTTCCCCTTAAAGAAAATTTGTCCGAACTAATAGAGCTTCTTTGTTGTTGCAGATGTGAAGACAGGCATGCCTATAATCACGTCAAAGAAGTAAGTTGTGGTGAACTTTGGAATTATGGTTTAAATTAGATCTATTTTTAGATAGCCTTTCTGACATGGCAGTCCACGCCTTTTTTTCCTCTGCTTTTTGTGGTGGGTGTGTCCCTGAAAATTATGTCTGAATTTATTGTGGATCAAATCATATTTGAAATACACTAAGTTTATTTTTCAAAATAATCCAAAGCCAAATCCTTTTCCAGTTGAATTCCTTCCAAAATATGAACAGTTTTCTTGTAATGTGTATGTCTTTAAGTGCTAAGATGCTTAGACTTAGATTTAGGACTGGCCTCTTGCCCTGTGTGGCATCAATGGCCCTGTCCTCTTTCCTTGCTCTGCATTCGTCGGGTAGGAGAAAGAGGCTTTCACAGAGGCCCTTGCGCGTCCTCTCATATGGTTGTGGTTCCTTCCTCTGGGTGTTTTCCTGCTGTTCTCACATCCTGGAACATTTCTCCCTGACCCCCCACGCACGCACGCTGCCTGCCTATTCCTGCACATCCCACGGCTCAGCGTATGTGTCAATCTCCTGGAGTTTCTCTTCTCACCACCCTCCCCTCTGCTGAGTTGAGGTTGTTCCTCCAGCTCCCCCAGAGTCTGCATAGGTGCCCCTTACTGTGCCATCCATCATACCTGGATTTAGACCGTCGTTTCTTGGAGAACAGGGACCATGCCTAGTTCCTCTCTGCAGCCCCAACACTTGGTGGTCACTTGGTAGGGTTTTGTTGACTAAATGTTCATCCATGTAAGTCCTCATTGTCTCTGAGGTGCAGCTCGAGTCATAACTCTTCCACGAAGCCTTCTAAAACTACTCAAGCGCATGATGAAAATCATCATGCTTCTGGCATGTGCTGGCAGAATCTGACAGCTCCTTTTTGGTTACGTGCCTGGTAACCCCCTGGCCAGAGGAGTGGGTAGGGAGGTAGTGGCACCGGGGAGATCTCAGTGGCTGCTCTGGCTGTAACTGCAGCCTGGGACGGGTAGGGTTCTAGTCTGTGGGAAGGGCCTGCTGAGAACCTCGCAGAGCCCCCACCTCAGGAGAAGCTGCAGTATAGGCAGGTTGCTACAACCAACATTAGGACTCAGAGCAGAAGCCTGCTCCTCAGAACTGCATCCTGCTCAGGCTGTAGTAGGAGGACATGACGTCAAGCCAGCTTGAATATGCAAGGTTCTGGATGGGGGAGATTGCCACCTACCTGAAGCTTATCCCTTTGTAAGCATCACAGTGTAACAGTCCAAGAATTTGATTGATCCTTGTATTAGTTTCCTAGGGCTGCCACATCAAAGTTCCACAAACTTGGTGCCTTAAAAGAACGGAAATTTATTCTCACAGTTCTGGAGGCCAGAAGTCCAAAATCAAGGTCTTGGCAGGGCCATGTTCCCTCAGAAGGCTCTAGGAGGGGCTGGCCCTGTGGCTTAGTGGTTAGGTGCGCGTGCTCTGCTACTGGCGGCCCGGGTTTGGATCCCGGGCGTGCACCAACACACCGCTTCTCTGGCCATGCTGAGGCCGCCTGCCACATACAGCAACCGGAGGGATGTGCAGCTATGACATACAACTATCTGCTGGGGCTTTGGGGGAAAAAAAAAAGGAGGAGGATTGGCAATAGATGTTAGCTCAGAGCCAGTCTTCCTCAGCAAAACAGAGGAGGATTAGCATGGATGTTAGCTCAGGGCTGATCTTCCTCACAAAAAAAAAAAAAAAAGAAGCAGGCTCTAGGAGAGGATCCTTCCATGCCTCATCTTAGCTTCTGGTGGAAGCCAGCAATCCTTGGCATTCCTTGGCTTGTAGACACAGTACTCCAGTCTCTTCCCCCGTTGTCACATGCGGTCTCCCTTGAGTCTCTGTGTGTCTGTGTCCAAATTTCCCTCTTGTAAGAACACCAGTCAGTATGGCCTCATCTTAACTTGATTACGTCTGCAGAGACCTTGTTTCCAGATAAGGTCACATTTGCAGGTGCTGGGGGTTAGGACCTCAACATACCTGACAATTCTGTCAGAACATTTTGTGCACGCCCTCCCCAACTTAAGTGCTTGTTGTCCTTGTTACTTTACTATTCCCTCTGAAGTTCTGATCCCCGTTTCAAGTGGATTTACTCTAGTTGGCCTTTTTCCAACAATGGTTGTCCTTGGGTGATGAGAAACATCCATGTAATCTGTTCTGGAGGTGAGCATCAGGACCCTCAGGTGATGCCCTTGGGGGACTGAAGTACGTACGGTCATGTGGAGCAGCCCTGAGGGTGGTGCTAGGCCCCCCTCATTCAGCCAGCATTTACTGCAGGCGCCTATGTGTCAGGTAGTGGTAGGTGCTAGAGATAAAAGAGGAGGAAAGGATCTCATCTCTCTTCTCGAGGGATGTATAGTCCAGTGGAAGAGGAAGAGAAGTAAACAATTGCACTCTTCTGTAATGAATATTAGGATGAGATAGCACCATTGTCGGCCTCATAGCCAACAGGTACAAATTCTCCAACAGTGCCAGTTACTGGTCTGTACGCTTTACCTGTATCATCTCAGTCCATCTGCTCAAGAAACCTTTGTGTAGTCGTTTCCATCCTGTACATGGAGAACCTACAAATAGCTTGCCCGAGATTTCATGAGCTCAGACTAGGCAGTCCAGCTGCAGAGCCTGGGAGGAGTTGACACATAATGAGACACTGACACAGTTGTACATGCTGGCATTTCTTGAGCATAGTGTGTGTGCTAGGTACTCTAGCAATAACAATTTATGGATTATCTCCTTCCGTCCTCACGTCACCCCAGTGAGGTAGGTCCTGTTGTCTGTCTTTGACACGGGAGGAAACAGAACCAGAGGAGGGTAAGTAACTCGCTCAAGGTCAGTGTTTGGACCTAAGCAGATGGGCTCCAGAACCTATACTCGAAATTGTTTTGCTGTAACCTTCCAACAATAAATGGGCGTTAATAAGATGGTGGAGAAGGGTGTTCTATGGCAATGGAAGAGGGGTGTTCGAGGGCATAGAATCATGAGAATTCTCATGATACCCTCGTATTCAGAGGGTACCTTTCGGTATTCTTGAGGCCCTAAAATGGGCCTGCTTTTTCCCAGTCTTATTATTGCTTCTAATCATAGCTGCCACCTTTTCCTTCTGCCACTCTCCCCCTTATGTTTTCTGACTTTTACTTTTCACTTTTCTCTTCCTGCCGCTTCTCCAGCGGTATTTGGGGTTAATCGCAGCAGGACTTGGCTTTTTAAGGCATTCCCAGCCAATGAGAGGATACCTGCTTTGTGACCCATATGCCATAAGTCTTAGTCATTTGTGTATCTAGCTGTTTTCATCACCAGTCTTACTCAAAGGCTTTCTTCTACATACTTTTGCAGCCACTGTCTCATTGGAGCTTTCATAAACGTCTGAGGTCATTATGAGGCAGGAGGGCAGGCGTGATTCTGGCATTTGGCAGACGAGCAAAAAGGGATGTGGAGATGCTAAGTGGCTTACCTCTGAATCCCACAGAAGAGCCAACTCACCAGATCTGGTGCAGTGCTTGTCCCCACACGGCTGCCCCTGCTTTCAAAGAGCAGTTAATTAAGGTGTACATTTCCATTCACGAAAATGTTATTTTTTTTAATGTAATATGTATTGAGTCAAAATGATTGTATTTTTCAAGTCTCCCCTAAGAACCTCACAATCATATAGCAACAAATATTTATTGAGCACTTATGTACTGAGCACTTTGCACATCTTGTCTCCTTTAATCCTTGCGACAACCCCATGAGTGGGTACAGTTATCCCTGGTTTACAGAGGAAGAACTGAGCCTTAGAGAGGAGGGTTGCGTCACTGGTACGAGAACACGACGGAGTGAGGGTTTGAACTCGTGTCTACCTTGACCACTCTGTTGCAAAGAGTAGAGCAGTGACCTCTGTGTGCTCTCTCTCAGTTCCAGAACTTCTGCTCAAAGGGGGAACTGTTCAACCTCTTATTCAGTGCTGCCTTCACGTATTTTGAGTAAAGGAATTTGATCAAAGTTGTGGATCCCTTCCCCGGAAAAATACACATTGACATAAAAATTTGTGTTCAAATAAAGGAGATTCATGGACCCATGAAGCCTATAGAGCCAATGCTTTAGGGGAGATGAAGAGTAAAGACTCTTTTTAGAGCTCTCAAATGAAAGTTCTTTTAACCGTATGCAAGAGCATCCATGTAACAGGCGAGAAGACACCCTGCTGTTTTATGGGCAGCTACATTTTTTTTCCTGATTTTAAAAAGTAGTACATAACAAGATCCCTATGAGCTGGTAGCAGTAGTGTCCCCATCTCATGGATGGGGAAACCGAAGCACAGAGAAGTTAAGTAATTGACTTTGTCACACAGTTATAAGTGACAGAATCCAGTCTGAACACAAAACATGTGCGGTACCAGAGTCCATGCATGTAATCATCCTGCCTCTTAGGTATTACAGGGCTCTTGCCAGGTTTTGATCTTTAGATGCAGTTCCCAGGGTATAGGAATGCATGCTCATCCCCATGTAGGATAAACAGGGCGTAGACAGCTTGGAGATTCTTCTGTTGAGTCAGGGTTAAGCAGCCACAAATCTCTTTTTTAAATATAGTGGAAGCCAGTTTCCTTGTTTAATTTTGTGTGAGGTGAAGCAGTTTATAACCATGACTATTCAGTCATCCACACATGGCAAAATGCTCAGGGTGAAGAGTAAAGTTAGGTCTGTCTTCCCACGACCCGTGTGTCTCCTTAGATGCTTTTCAGGCTGATTGCTGGAGGTGAGAGGCAAAAAGTGCTGGAGTTTTCACAGTGTCTCGAGCCTCCGCTGGTCACGCTCCCACCATGGTGGTCTTGAGACATCGCATCCCGGCGCGTGGTTAGGTGTTGACGCTTCTTCACTAGGGCAAAACCCCCTTGTCTTAGCTTCAACTTTTATAACTTGGAAAGTGTTCAGGGGTTGCCTTCAAGTTTTAGAAACTATGTATTTTCTCATTAAAATAAATTCTGGAAGTTATTATGGAAAAAGCTGTTTATATTAGAATACTTGGCCATATATGTATAAGCATAATTACTTCTTTCCATATGCAGTGGAGAGCTTAGTGGGTACTGTGAAAAGTATTTACTAACATTCTCATTTTGCTTTCCAATACTAAACAAAAGCTCTTTATGTTGAATGGGATATATATCTGAAAACCAAAAATTGATATAATACAAAATTAAAAATGGTACAAAACTAATCCTGACAAAGGGTGGCCGTTTCCTCTTTACATCTGCCTAAATCACTTGGTCCACGAGTTTTAACTTACATAAGTTTTTATACTTGGTTAGACTGGGGTCATTTTTTTTTCAAATTAAGCAAATTAAATGAAGCTCTATAATAAAAACGCAGTAATACATGCTTATTGCAGAACATGTAGAAAATGCAGAAAAGTATAAAGAAAACATTTACCTGTAGCCCACTATTGAGAAAAACTGCTATAAACATTTTGGCGTACTACCTTCCCATCTTTTTTGTTGTTGTTGTTGTGGTTGTTGTTGTTGTTGAGGAAGATTTGCCCTGAGCTAATATCTTTGCCAGTCTTCCTCTATTTTGTATATGGGTCACTGCCACAGCATGGCTGACGAGTAATGTGGGTCTGCGCCCGGGATCTGAACCTCCGAACCTGGGGTGCCAAAGCGGAGTGTGCCGAACCCAACCATTGTGCCACAGGGCCAGCCCTTCCCATCTTTTTTGCATGTTCTATTGTTGTCTTTTAAGTAGCAGAATTCAAGTGTTGTTACTAACAGTATGTCTGTTTTACAGGTATCAGCGTAGTATAGAATGGGCCACAAAGCTCATGCGAAGACAGGGGCAGGACGAGAGCACGGTGCATAGAATTCTCAAGGATTACACAGAACCCCTTGAGCATCCCGGTATAAAAAGGAATGAAGAAGTTCAATTGCATGAGGAGCTGAACTCTGAAATGGTTTCCAAAATGGAAGGCACAGCAGGTAGAGAGAAACTTTCTGTGGTGAATGGGGGCTCGGGAAGGTCGAATGATGTGGAGGATCCCAGCAAGCGATCAGACTGCCTGCAGGAGGGCTCTGGGCATGCCCCACCATCTACAGACAGCTTGGATGCACACGTGGTCGAGGGCCCTACACCCCTGCCCCACGTCCATGGCGGCAAACAAGACGTTCTCCTCCCCCTGTGTGGCGCTCAGCCTGAGGACAGCAGCCAACGAGCGGGACCCATCTGTGCCGGAGAGAAAGGACCTGATCATGAGTACGTGCTCGTGGAGGAAGTCGTGTGTGAGGAGAGCAAGGGGGAGGATGCCCCAAATGAGGAAGTAAGTAGAAGAAAATAAATGGCTTCCTCCCAAGCCGTCTGTTTCTGGCCCATAGGAGATGTTGGCTAACAGTCTTTCTCGGAACTGCTGGCAGGCCCATATTAAGCACCCAGGGTATGTGAGAGGTGGTGCAGGGCACTGCACTGCAGACCCTCTGAGGAACCAGCAGGCTCTGGGTCCCCAGCCCTGGTGGCTCAGTAGTTGTAAAGGCTGTTTCAACTAAAGCCTCAAGTTTGTCAGTAACTTTTTAAAAAATGTATGAATTAAAGCAGGTCCAATAATATTCTTTCCCTTGTTTGGGAGAAAAAGAAATGCAGTGGTAATTACACAGTCTTGGGTATGGCTGTGGGGGAGAGTCTCGAGAGTGGACGTTGGCCATCACAAGAGAAGCATTGGAAGGCAGATTAAGAGCCACTTCATTAAGGGATGCACTGTCAGAGACAGTTACCCTAGAATTGTCTGCAGCAGCTAAAAATGAGGAACAATCCAGTGGTTAAGCAGTACGTGAGACACCCATTTGAAGAAATAACAGCCTTTAGAATGAGGTTTAGAAGAACCTGGAGGTTCTTGGAGGTTCGTGAAGAGCCTGGGCCTGTGCTTGTGAAATACAGTTGGGTGAAAAGCAACACATGAAACTGACCAACAAAGTGATCACAACGTGGGAAAAATTCACGGGGGAAGAAAGAAAGGAAAGAAATCAAAATGTTCATAGTAGAAAAACTAAAACTTCTTCTTCCCCATAAGTAATAAAAAAATTATTTTTTAACAGTACTAGTCCAACAAATGGGAAGTTTAACAGAAAAATGTTCATTTTAAAATGCAGTCTCCTCTCCATAACCTGTAGTGCTTCCATTTGTTCTGTATATATTTTCTTTCTTTCTCTTCAGTTGGTGCAGAAAAAGAGACTAATATGCAGAAGAAATCCTTATAGGATCTTTGAGTATTTGCAACTCAGCCTAGAAGAGGTATGTTTCCAGCATGTTATCTTTTCAGCTGTTGGTCTCTGGGCCTGGGCAACACGGTATAGATGAGTCTACCTCAAAATATAGTTCTGTATGTAATTCAGTAACTGTGTGTTCAGTAATTGAATACTGCAATTCAGTAATGAAATCACCATAGGCAGCTTCCAGAGTAGAAAGCCTAAATTTCACCCCTCAGCCTTCATTTCATCAGTTCTAAGATGTGCATTTTGGGGGGCCTTCACTCTATCCTTCCAGAGAGGTTTCAAGGGCTTTGTCTAAGCACTTCTTTTCACATCATGATTTCAGATTCGCCAAATATTGTGTTACTAATTTCCACCAGCTTTTAAAAGAAACACAGCTTTATTGAGATATAGTTCACATACCATACTGTTCACCCATTTAAAATCTACAGTTCAGTGGTTTTTAATGTATTCATGGAGTTTCACCAGTTTTTAATAAGCTATGATGCATGATTCAGGTCATGTAATGACTGCTAATTACGTAAATGGATTCTCGGTACTTCCTTCTGCAGAATTACTAACACGTGTTTCCTTTATTTAATGCAATAGCTGCATTCTCAAAAGTTGGCTAAAAGTGGCTTTTTGAAACCTGCATCATGTCTTCCCTGTGATTTGGAGTTCCTCTATCCGTGGTCATGTGATGTTCAGTCCCTCCCTTTTTGCTCATCTTTGTGCTGTACACAGAAATGTCCTTCCTGCCCTTGAAGGTAGCACCCCTCCTCGGTCTCGTGCCCTTGAGCATGCCTCTCCTCCAGGAGTGCTCCTACCTGTCGTGGAGAGCTCCTGTGGCGTCTAGCACAGTTCTTGGCATATGTGTAGGTCTCAGGAAGTACTTGTTGAATGCATCTACACTGGTGGTTTCATAGATGTGTCCACAGAGAAGAAATCGTGTCTCCATATTCTCTCCATCTCCTGGTCTGTGCTTCCCTCCTTGCAGTGAGGCCAGTGGTACAAAGAACAGAGCTTCAGAGCAGGGAAGGATGTTTGGAATTATTTACTTGATCTCCTCATTTTACAAAGGAGATAGCTTAGTCTATTGTTGAATACAGTAGCCACCAGCTGTGTGTGACTGTAATTTAAACTAATTAAAATGGAACAAAATTCAAAATTGTGTTTCTCCTGTGTGCCAACTACATGTCAAACACTCAACAGCCACATGTGGCTCGTGGCTACCATTTTGGACAGCGCATGTGTAGAACGTTCCCGTCATCACAGAAAGTTCTGTTGGGCAGCGCTGTGGATACCCATTCTCTAGGTGCTTGACCTCTCTGGGCCTCAGGTTTCTTCTCTGTGAAATGAGGGTTATGGAACGCCTTGTTCATAAGATGTTCTGGAAATTAAATAATGCACGTAATGGGTTCAGCACAGTGCCTGTATGTGGTAAATGCTCACTAAGTGTTAGTGCCTGCTAGTCTTGTCATTATCATTATTAAGTCACTTGTAAAAGATATTTAGTAGCTAATTGGAACTCTTTTGTTTGCAATCACAAAAAATATTCACCAGGTACTTACTATGTGCCAGGCACCGGACTAAGTGCTAACAATACAGAAATAAACAGAATATGGCTCCGGTCCTAAAGATAGTCCAGAAATAATCACGGGTCAGTGTGACAAGCACAGTGTGGTGCACGATTGTGCCAGTGTTGCTCCTCTTGTATCTCTCGTCCCAATACCTGACATCTGTGAGGTGCTTAGTAATTATTTGTTAAATGGGTGTGTACAAGGTGTGGGATTTGCACAGAAACTGGTGGGGTCCAAAGGGAGAGAGAAGCTGGAAAGGCTTTACTGAATCAGTGATATCCGCAGGTGTTAAAGGATAAATAGGGGATTGCCAGATGGACACAGCAGACAGCATGGGCTCTTCCATGCACCTCAGTCCTGGAAGTGATGGCACAGAAGGGCTAGATCGAGAAGGGCGTGTCTGCGCGTAGGGGTCTGACCTGGTCCTGATGGCGCTGGGGCACTGCAGAAGGTTACGTGGGGGAGTGGCAGTGACCAGAGCTGACGTCATTGTGAGGGTGGGCAGAAGGCTTGAGGCCGCTAGGAGCCTGCCAGCCTCTCAGCTTGGGAGACGGCAGCAGTAGGCGGAGAGAGAGAATTGGGTGTCAGAAACCGGGAGTTCAGCCTCCCTGTTCCAGTTGATGCTTTTTACTGACCCCAAAAGGTGCTGCTGTGTGCTGCCTTCTCCCGAACACTCCCTGAAGAAAGGCAGGAGTAATAGGAGATGAGAGATGAGGTTGCTCTGCGTGCTTGGAAGCTGCTTGGTTCCTGAGAGCACCCCAGAGACATGTTGCAAAAGTTTTTAAGGATCATGCACTTAGGCCTAGCTCTGCTTCTCGGTTCTATCTCGGCAGGTTTCCTTTGAATGAATCACCTGTGAGGTTGAATGTGTTTCCATAAATGTCCGTCAGCAGCACAGGCAGCCCTGCTGCAGTGATTCACAGCGCTTCTGTTGAGGGATTGAGAATGGTAATACCACAGCTGATCTGAAGATCTGCTTCTTAGAGATCTGTTCTTGTTATCTGGTTTTGGGCCCTAACTAGATTTAGTGATATGACATTAAAAACCATCGTTAAACTTATCCCTCCATCTTATCAGTACTGTCAAAGTAAAACAACTAATGAGATCTCAAGGGACCAAGACATCCCCAGTCTACTGATGATTTAATTCTAAATAAAACCAACACAGTTGGATTAAGATCCTCTCCATCTTTAATAAGTGCCCAATAGGAGTTTGTGTAGATTCATAAAAGCCATCACCATTTTAGGCAAATAAAAATGAAGCATTGGTTTCATCAGTTCTTAGAGAAATGTGTATTTGCTGATAATGGAAAGACATTGGTCAATCTCTGAAGAACTCAGATCCTAACAGATACCAGGAAGGAATCTCTTGCTAGACAGGGATTGGATTGAACTTTTCCTGGCTATAATATCTAAATGGCTTTTAGAAAGGGAGGGAAACTAAAATGGATTGAGCAGTTAGGTGCTTTGCATAGCTTATGAAGTCTTTTAACTAAGAAGGCATTATCATCCGCATTTTGTAAGGAGGTAGGAGAGTTGAAGTGATACTTCCAAGGCCCTTGCTGTTAATGAAGATTTCGACCCAGGTCTGTCATATCTCAGAGTCCATGCTTCCCCGTACACCATTCTGAACCAGGAAGTGAAAAGTGTGAGGAAATGACAGGGAAAGAAGGACTTGGCTGTCTGGGACACAACTTGGCCTTTTCCACTGCACCTTTTGGCCACCGTCTCTCTCCACCTGAAAAACAGGGCTATTCTGTGTTAATAAGCAGTGGGCTGTGGGAAGAGAAAAGGTCAAAATAAGATTGTCGGACACCTGGGAAGGCTGTCACCAGTGGCTGAAAGAAGTAGGACGGTGTCCACATGGAGGGGAAAGGAGCTGAAGGGGCTGGGCCGGCAGAGACTGCTCCAGGGAGCTCTGGCAGTTTGGCCCTAAACCAAGGACAAGATCCAGGGACCTATGTCTTTATTGCTTCATAGCAAGCACTGAGCAGCCACCATGTGCTGGACTGCTTCTAGGCCAAGGAAACAGCAGGCAGAGTTTCTGCTCTCACAGACTTTACGTTCTTTACTTACATTCTGGTTGGAGAGACACATACAAGAAAGATATTTTCAGACAAAAATAAATGCTCTGAAGAAGACAGTGAGGGTGGGGGTTACTTAAACTGAGTGGTCGGGGAAGACCTCTCCGAGCAGTGACCTTTGAGTCTGGGGCGGAAATGCCAGATATGGGAATAGCAATTACAGAGGCGAAGGCAGGAGACATCTTAGTGTGTTCAGGGCACAGAATTGAAGGCAACACAGCTAGGAAAAGAGGTGTTCAGATCACGCAGGGGCTGGAGCTGGTGGGCAGCAAAAGTGAGGTAAAGCCCATTGGGGTTTTAGTCCTGGGAACCACGTGATCTTGGCTTGTTAAGAAGATGGCTCTGGCTGCTGTGGGGAATGGCCTGCGAGGCTGAGAGCAGAGAGGCCTTTGCAGAAGTCCAGGCAGGAGGAGGTGGCTGGAACCCAGAGAAGGGGACCGGCAGATAATCCCCGCATCTTCAGAAGAGCTCCAGATTTGAATCTGGGTAGAACTAAAATAGTTGTTCTCAAACACTTTAATCTCTTAAAAATTATTGAAGACCCCAAGGAGCATTTTTGTGTGGTTTAAAATAACGATAATAAACCCCATTATACGTTAACATAAATAATTTTTTTTTAAGTAACTATGTTCTTTCAAAACAGATTCATTGAGAAGAATGGCATTGTTTTTTACTTTTGCAGATCACTCTAAGGTCTGGCTTTGTAGAGGCCAGCTGGATTCTCACGTCTGCTTCTCTATCAGTCTGTTGAGATATCACGTGTGGAGCCTCAGAAGAGAATGAGCATAAACAAGGCAAATAACGCCTTAATGTCATGAGATAGTTTTGACCTTGAGACCTCTTGAAAAAGGGTCTCGAGGAGCCCAGTCTCCCCAAACCACATTTTGAGAATGGCTGCTATCAAGAGAAATGGCATCCGATGGCCAGGAGAGAATGACAGTGGGGTGGATGCGGGTGATTCCTGAGGGATCACGGAGCTGTTTCCTTAGCAGGACCTTGTAGCTGCTTGAAGCCCTGCTCCTGCATAGTCTGTGCTCTCTCAGGTCCTCCCGTCGTTTGTTCCTGTGTGCTGGGCGGTGAGGAAACAAGCTGAGCGAGTCTCATTCGCTGGTACCGTGCTGTTGCGCAGAAGCATGAGGGCTCAGGCAGGGGGCTGCATTTCTGTGCCATATTACACAAAAGGACCCCTCCTCATCTATGCCTGGTGGCAGCAGCAGAATATTTGTCATTTGATTATAAATCTAATCTTCCATCCTCTTATTTAAAAAGAAAGTAACCCGATTTTACTAATAGCTGCCGTTTAGTTACTGCCTACTACGTGCCAATCTTATGTGAGTCTGTTCAGGTGTAAACCTGGATCCTAATCCCCCCTCAGAGTAGAGCCAACAGCAGGGCCTGTTTGGTGGAAGCAGTGTTTGACATCATCTTATTTTTATCAGAAAGCTATTTTTATTTCCATCTAAGTGTGATTTTACTCATCTAGGGCCGACTTTCTTTGCTGTTCCTTCTGCTTCCCCATATGAGTAAAACAAGTTACTGTATAATGAAGTTAATGGAAAGATGGAGTTTTTGTTATTAGTGCCGTCTGACTCCCAGCGACCCTGTGTACAGCAGAGCAGAACCCTTCCCGGTCTTTTGTGCCATCCTCTCACCTTCCAGCGCCGTATCAGACAATGCTCCACTGCCATTTATAGGGTTTTCACAGCCAATTGTTTTTGAAAGTGGGTGTCCAGGTCCTTCTTCCTGGTCTGTCTTAGTCTGGAAGCTCTGCTGAAACCTGTCCACCATGATGACCTTGCTGGTATTTGAAATACCAGTGGTGTAGCTTTCAGCATCACAGCAACACGCAGGCGCCACAGGATGACAACCAATACTGGGGTGGTGTGGTTTCCTGACCAGGAAATGAACCTGGGCCGCAGAGGTGAGAGTGCCAAATCTTAATGACTAGACCAAGATAGGGTTTACTTAGTAGGATACCCTTTACAGCAAAAGTAGCTGAGAAACTCATATTTTGTTACAGAAGCCAAATCTGCACAGCCCACTTTTCACAAATTTCTATGTATTTCTTTCTATAAATTTTTTTCTCAGTTTAGTATTGTTAGTTAATTTTACAGAGGAAAAGCCAATGAGCAAAGTTTTCTCTTGTTGTTATAGCTATTTACATCATTTCTCAGTTTAGCCGTGTGATTTTTTTAAGGAAAAAAAATACGTGGAAAATTTCATACAAATATTTTGTTTTTTATTGATTTTAAACCAATTTGTGACATTCATATTTCCTAGATTTTTTTTAATCCTTGAAATTTGAATGAACCATTTATGTTAAAAATATGTGACTATTTGGTTGATTTAAGGACATTAATTTGTATTTAAGGCAAAGAGAAATCAGTCTGTAAAATAATTTCTCAAGAATGAGGAATTTGTAATGAGCATTTTCTGCTTGCTCTGTTTTTAGGCCTTCTTCCTGGTCTATGCCCTGGGATGTCTAAGTATTTACTATGAGAAGGTAAGATGTTTTGTTTAGATACAATCCACTTAAAATTTTCCTGATGTTAAAAGCAGATTGTTGTAATTTCCATGTTGCTTTAATCAAATGTGTCTACTTTCACTGAATAAAATTGGAATTTTTTCTCTAAGTTTAGGCTTTGGGTCCTGAATTGGGACTACTCAGGCAAAAGCCAGCTTTAACCCTTTTAGACTGAATTTCATTCCCAGAAATGAGAAGAGCAATATCTTATATGATGATCAGGAAATCTGTGTCAGAATAGTACTAAAAATTAACAACACAAATAAAAACTACCAGTGTTTAGCACCGGCTTCGGTACAGACTGTGTGTTAGGCTCTACATGCAATACTTCTAATCCTTGCCTCCGCCTGGTAAGAATTTTACAGATAAGGTAACTGAGGCCCGGAGGAAATAAGTAACTCACCCAAGGTCACACAGCTAGTTGGCTAGAATTAGTATGTGAACCTGTGTCAGGGTAGCTCCAAACCCCATGATTTTGTGCAGTAGCTGCTGCCCTTAGAAGAAGGATGGTCCCACGAGAAGTTGCTTCCGTTGCTTGCCTCCTGGGAGAGGAACTGGGGGACTGGGCACACAGGCGGGAGGGGACACTTCATTGTACACTTTTGTGCTTTTTGAATTTTGGACCATGTGACTATAATACCTGTTCAAAATAATTCATAAGTAAATAGAGCAGAGAAAGTATATTTTATGCTGTTGTTGGGAGTACATAATTTTATCATTCATCAAATTCTAATTATATAAATCTTTTTCACTAGTATGGTAGTTTCTAGTAGTTTGGAAACCAGTATCTGGCTGATGGGTGACTCATTTTCCCAGATGGTGGCCATTCTTAGCCCACCCTGAGTCCTCTTTTGAGCTTTAGCTAAAATTTGTCAGAACATTCCAGCTGCTACGTAGAATTCTCAACCTCTGAAACGTGGTGGGCTGTCCATATTGGAAGTTCAGCCTTTTCTACAAGACTTGCTGTTAGAGGAGGGGTTGAGTGTTTCCTCACAGCGAGACTTGAAGGTGACACCTGTATGGAGCTTCTGCCTTAGGAATATCTGCAAAAAGAAGCAGAAAACTAGCTGTGTGAATTCATGAACTAAATTATGAATTAATGAAATAAATATGAGCTCTAGCTCATATTTATGGTATTAAAATATTAGGCTGAGACAAACTGAGCAAATCTCATTGATTTGAACCCTAAACCAACTGAGGAATTGATCATTTTACTAAGCATTGAAATGAAGTGGAAAACTTTCCAAACTTATGTAGTTTTTTGTTGTATTTTTTGTATTGATACATCAGAATGTTCTCTGAACCAAACCATTCTCAGTCTCTTCAAGTCCTACGTTAGAAACAAAATTCTCTTTTAAGCAGTTGGATTATTAATTTTTGCCATGAGATAAATTCTCTAGTTTCAAAGACTAAATAGAGCTTTTTTTTTTTCTTAAGCTTCTACAAAATTATTTATGGCTTTTCTGAACATGGCTTGACGTACAGTAGCTCCTCATTAGGGTCTATGAAATGTTTGGAACCTGCTGCCCTCCAGCTGGTGGGCTTGCTACATTTGAGCACCCTGCACGCACCCATTCCTTTGCCGGGAATGTTCTTCCGCAGCGCCCCCACCTCCTCCTCCAGTACGCTCCCCTTCCCGTGGCTGCTTCCTTCTCGTCTCAGTGTCCCTGTCCCAGGGAAGCCTCTCCAAGTCCTCTAGAGAGTGCTGGCCAATAGAAAGGTAACGGGAGCCTCGGACGGAAGCCACATGTATAGTTTTAGATTGTCTGGTAGCCACATTAAAAAGGTTAAAAGAAGAAAGTCAAGTGACATTCATTTACATTATTTACATGGTTTATTTATATATAATAACACACCTTAGCCAAAATTATTGAGATAGTTGACGTTCTTTCTTTCGTACCGAGTCTTCGAGATTCCGTGTGTCTTGCACACCCGCAGCACTTCTCAGTTGGGCATGTGGCTGGTGGCTGCTACCGTGGACAGAGCAGTCTTGGTCTTCTCGTTAAATACCCCGTCATGGGTGCAATGTGTGTTTTATTCACTGCTTCCGCTCCGCACTTCATATAGACATTGATTCACTGGTTGAATGATGAGTGGATACAAACATGATAACTCCTTTTTTTCTTTTTTTCAATCACTTTAGGAACCTTTAACAATCATGCAACTCTGGAAAGCTTTCACCGTAATTCAGCCCGCATTCAGGACTACGTACATGGCGTACCATTACTTCCGAAGCAAGGGCTGGGTGCCCAAAGTGGGACTTAAGTACGGAACAGATTTGCGTAAGTAATCTCGGCTTGGTAGGTGTGAGAACCGGGGTTTACGTCAGATCCTGGGCTGGAAATTGAACTGGTACTATGTGCTGTTGCTGATTTTTTCTAAGATGATGTCCTCCTTCTGGCTTAGATAAGAATATGTGGGTTGGGGTGGAGGGTGTGTCCAGAAAGAGTGAAAAGTCAGTCCAGGAGAAGAGCCGGGGAGCAGAAGCCTGCCACCAACCTTAGAAAGAGTTCCACAGCACCCACCCCCCACCACTCACTAACCCTGTGATTGTGTGATGTGGGGCAGTCCCCTGTCCTCTGGGCCTCAATTGCCTCGTCTAGCAAGTGAGAGTAATCATATAATTGTAATAATAATCACAGCTGTCATTTATTAAGCACTTCTGTGTGCCAAGCGTAGTACTGTGTGTTTTATATTTATTATCTCACTTACTCCTGACCGCAGTCCTATGCAGTGGATACTCTTATTATCCTCATTTTTTCTGATAGGGAGACTACAGTTTTGAGAGAATGGGTCATTTACCCCTAGTAGTTTCCAGAGCCAGTAACCTATAGAGTTGGGCTTTGAATTCTGGAGCCCAGGCTTTTAGAAACTTCTACACAGTACTGCCACCCCAATCTTTACTTGAAGTAAGGAGTGTGGACCAGGTGAGCGCCTCATTGAACAAATAATTACTGAGGGTCTCCTGTGGGCCAAGTCTTGTTAGTGCCAAGAATACAGAGGTGAACAAGATGATGGAGCTGCTTACATTCTGGTGGGGGAGACAAACAGGCAAACAAACAAATATGTAAGGTAATGTCAGGGACTGTTAAATACTAAGAAAAATTAAGGAGAGTAAAGGAATTTAGGGTGATTAGGAAAGAACTTTCTGAAAAGATATGACCCCCCCAAAAAACCAAACAAACAAAAGAGTGTGACCACAGTGACGGAACGGGTCACTTGAGAATCTGGGGATTCTGGACACTGGAGGCACAGTGTGAACAGCAAGTGCAAAGGCCCTGAGGCAGGAACAAGCTCAGCAAGTCTCAGGAACAGCACAGACAGTGTGTCTAGAACTTAGAGATCCCAGGAGTAGGGTGACATGAGGTGATGTCTGAGAGTCAGGCTGGGGCAGATCATGTTGGGACTGGCAAAGACTTTGGATGTTATTCTGGTGATTGGAAGTCTTGGGAGAATTTGAGCAAAAGAGTGACTTAAATTTAATGACTTAATTTAGCAGGACCCTCCGTCTGCTTTCTTACTAATAGACTGTAGCGGGGCAAAAATGGAAACAGAGTGGCTGGTTAGGGAGGCTGAGCCCGACCAGCCCTGCAGACAGAATGGATGTAGGATTTGCGAGTAAGAGAGGAATCAGGGATAATGCCTAGATATTTGGATTCATGTTTTTGGCGTATTACGTAAGTGCAGTGGAGATATTGTGAAGATGGACGATTCTGGAGCACAGGAGAGCCTTGAGATATCAATTTGGAGTTGTTATGTAAGTGGCACTTAAAGCCACAGGCCCGGGTGAGTGACCATAGATCCTTGCGATCCCTTCCAGCACTAGTGTCTCTCCTTTGACAAGTCCCTGAAACTCACTTTCCACGTCTGCCAAGTGAGGGTGCTTCCTGGATGCGTTTTGGAATTGTTTGTGAAGTTCAAACAAAAATTTCAACATATTTGAGAGGCCTTCTAAGAAGTCATGGCCCTTGAGGTCTTTTGAGCTCTGTCACATACTTACCCCCTGTATTTTTGAGCCTTTTTGAATACCCAAAGAAAGCCAATTGAATCTTTTAAATCTTTAAATGCTCTAAAATTGAGTATGCTTCACCTAAAACCATAGGATGGTCTTCAGGGGGCCCCAGCACCCCGTGAAATTTTATTCAAATACCGTGTTTTTAGATTGAAGCATTTTTCTGGGTCAAGAGTCATCGCTTTCATTAAACTCTCAAAGAGGGTGAGCAATCCAAAATAAAGCTTAAGGATTGCCCATCCTCTCAGATAAATGGTTTCTGTTGTTCCTTCCATGTGTGAATTTCAGGTCCAGATATCCTAACTCAGGTTACCGCACGAATGATCAGGATTAGCTGGAGATGAGTTTGCTAGGTTTCCAGATAGTTGTGTTGGCCAAGGGTCGCGTTGTTTAATGAAGTGATGTGCCCGTTCCATTTTTCTTGATTGCCTTCCTGCCCTGGTCTCCTTTTCATGCTCCTGTGAGAAGGGCCACTCGGTGTACATGCTTGGCAGGTCTTCTCCGACTTGCTCATTATATGGGTGAAATTGGGGTAGAATTTTCCGGTGGACAGGGCTATAGTGGTGCATTAAGAGGGGGCACGGGGTGACAGAAAGAGCTCCTGGGGTTCACAGCCGGTTCTACCTCTTACTGCCTGTGTGCCCTCAGGCAAGTTACTTCATCTCTCTAAGCTTCTGTTTGCTCATCGTGTAACATGGAAAACATCATCTTATTTATAAAGCAACATTCTTCTTGGTGACACAGATAATCCATAATCAATCTGTAAATCAAAATTGGGGTGTTTATTATGAGCCAGGTTTGAGGACTATAGCCTGGGGCCTTCCTTCCCCAAGGAAGGAAGGGCACCGAAGAAGTGGGATGTACAGAGTGGTTACATACCATCTTGGAACAAAGAGCATACATCGCATATGACAGGAATATGTCTTTTACTGCTGTCATGCGATGCTGAGCTGGCACAGCGGGTCGGTGGTCAGCAGGTCAGTGTCACAAGGTGACACATCAGGTCAATGATTAATCTTTAATTTCCAGGAAGAGATGCGTATCCTTAAAGAAATGCTGATATGGGGGGAAGCTACATCCCTATCTTTAATGGCACCATTCTTGTCTTTGGGACATAATAAATATGTAAAGCAGATGTATGATGCATGCTCAACAGGCCACGTCAGGCCCTTTTGGAAAAGCAGAATCAGGCCGAATTAATTTTACACCACATGGCTTCCTCATATACTCCAATATATCCTATTGCTTTTCATTTATTTATCATTCTTTGTAAAAAAAAAAAATAAAAAGTTGCAGGGGAAAGGAGCTTTTTTTGAGTGCCTTCTAAGCATACCTTGTCTCACGTATTTTCAGTACTCATGCCATATTTGTGGATAATGAGTAGAGAGAACTTTCCTAATTTAAAAATAAATTGCCTTATAAGGGTGGATGAAAAGATAGACAGATGGACAGATTTTTTTTTTAAAGAAAAAAATAAATCAATTGCTATTTCCCAGTTCCCTGGAGGCTGTCATGCATTTCAAACTGCTTGTATAATTAACACGAGACGAGGTCTCTGGCTTCACATTTCCTGCTTTAGCAACGGTGCACGAGCAGGGCTAGCCTGGGATGAGAGGAATGGCTTCCTAAACTTGACCTCTTCTCCAGGCATGGCTTCGAGGTGCCTTCTGGTTTTTAACAGTCGTTTTCATTTGGAAGGCCAGTGACCTAATCACATGTACCCGGAACTGCCAGCACAGGTTAGACCCAGGACAGTGTGTCTTAATTGTTTCTGCTTGCAGAGGTAATGACTCATGACAAAGGGTCCTTGTGACATTCACATCTTATGAGGGAAACTCTTCCCTTGAATAAAGCTTGTCAATCAAATTTCATTCCAGGAGCAGTCTTTGGAACAAGTGATAAGGATCTCAGATCAAGTGCAGCTGCCCAGCTAGTTGACCTTGATCACCTACTGGTGAAAACCAGACTAGAAACCAAGTGGGAGCCTTTGCTCACATTCCCCCCTCTGAAAGCTCCCGGGGCTGCTGGCTCCTGTGGCCACCCCTTCCTTGGTGCTTTTCTTCTCGTCTTATTTCATCTCCACACTCCTGTGAGGCATGTGGTATTTGCCTCCTTGTATAGCTGAGGAAACTGAGGTTTAGAAGGACCAGGGAAGTTCCCTAGGGGCCCACAGCCGGTAAATACAGCGGTCAGGGCTGTCTGGGTCCGAGCTCCCTGTCCTTCCCACTACGCCTGACGTTGCCAGCCAGCCAGCTGGCGGGTTGATATTTTTGTCTTACATGCAGTTACTGGTTGATTTGACTTGGTTTGACCCAAAAGTCTAGTTACTCCTGAGCCTCCTTCCCAGCCACTCGTTTTGGATTCACATTGACTGTGTGGTCATGTGATTTCTCAGCTCCCTGCAAATTATAAGTCACAAAGCAAGTGGAATGGTGGGAGCTGTTAGAAGCCAGCAGAGTTGCAGAATTTCCAGAGCCGAAAGGAACGGTCTCCAGTTATGACATCCAGCCCAGAGACCAATAACCCGTTCTGCCCTGGGGAGAGGTGTCAGAGCAGCTCTGTACTCATCACAGAACAAGGTGCTTCTTCCCATCTCCCTCTGGTTCTTTCCTAAACCACACTCTTGGCTTCTAATCAAACTTTTTCAGTATTTTCTTTAACATTTTCCACACATAATCCATTAGTATTTCTGCATGCAGCTCTTAATAAGGACATTCTCCTACATAGTTACAAGACCTAGGAAAAATTAGAATTATTCATTAATATTATCTAAATATCTAGTCCATATTTAAATTTTCCCAGGTGTCTCCAGAAGGTTTTCTGTGACTGTCTTGTTTTGATTTTTTGATACAGACTCCAGTCAAGGTTCATTTGTCACATTTGGTTGTGTGTCTGTCTTAGTTTCCTAGGGCTGCCATAAGAAATTACCACAGACTAGTGGGTAAAGCAACAGAAACTTATTCTCTCACAGTTCTAGAGGCCACAAGTCTGAAATCAAGGTGTCAGCGGGGCCATGCTCCCTCCAGAGGCTCTAGGGGCGAATCTCCCTCGCCCCTTCCAGCTTCTAGTGGCGCCAGGCTTTCCTTGGCTTGTGGCTGCATCACTCCAGTCTCTGCAAAGCTCTTTTTTCCACATGAAGCCACATTCACAGATTCCAGGGATTGGAACATGGGCATCCTTTTTGGGGCCACCGTTCAGCCCACTGCAGCCTCTTTGGTCTTTTAATGTAAAACAATCCCTCTGCCTTCTTGTTTGCTTTGTTTTTCGTGACATGGACTTCTTTTGAAGAGTCCTGTAGGATGTCCTGTGTTGTAGATATGTCCAATTGTTTCCTCACGATTAGACTCAGGTTCATCATTTTTTGGCATACGGAGGTGATATGTGTACTTTGCCACAGCATGATGTCAGGTTGTCCTACTATTGGTGATACTAAGTTTGGTCATTTGGCTAAGTGGCTATAGTCAGATGTCTGTTGTAAAATTACATTTTTCCTTTTGTAATTAACAAGTAATTTATAGGGTGAGACTGAATATCTGATTTTCCAATAATTGTAATGGTTGCCTGAATTAATTATTGCACTAAGCATCATTTTCTAATTCTTTCGTTCCTCCATGTGTCATTTCTGGCATTCATCTGTAAGAAAGAGCTTTCTTGGGGCCAGCCCGCTGGTGTAGCACTTAAGTTCGCTCACTCCGCTTTGGCGTCCCGGGGTTCACTGGTTCAGATCCTGGGTATGGACCTACCCACTGCTCATCAAGCCATGCTGAGGCGGCATCCCACGTAGAGCAACTATAGAAGGATGCACAACTATGACATACAGCTATCTACTAGGGCTTTGGGGAGAAAAAGGGGAAAAAAGGAGGAAGATTGGCAACAGATTTTAGCTCAGGGCCAATCTTCCTCAAAAAAGGAGGTTTCTTTTCCCCGTTCTTTCAGACATTTTTTTTTTTTCTCTTTGTGAGGAAGATCAGCCCTGAGCTAACATCTGGCGCCAGTCCTCCTCTTTTTGCCAAGGAGGATTGGCCCTGGGCTAACATCCGTGCCCATCTTCCTCTACTTCATATGGGACGCCGCCACAGCATGCCTTAATAAGCAGTGCGTCGGTCCGTGCCTGGGATCCGAACCCGCGAACCCTCGGCTGCAGAAGTGGAGTGCGCACACTTAACCGCTACGCCACTGGACTAGCCCCTTTCAGACTTCATTTTTAAATGCCCGGTATTTCTTAGACTTCTGAAGCTTTCATCTTTCTGCTTGGGAGGCATTTTTCTAAAATGATTTCATTTTTCCCTCTGGATACACTGTCGTCATTGTAATTACTGTGATTGTAGGTAACTTTTTGAGCACTTCCTTTATGCCAGCCACTCTGCCAGTACCTCTACCCTCATTGTTATCCTCATTTTTCGTGATAAGGAGGTTGAAACACAGGGTATCCTCATGTGGTCTTGGCACTGCTGAGACTTGAACTCGGATCTGTCTGATGCCAGTGTTCATGCTTTTAACTTCTAAGCTACACTGCCATCATCACCAGTCATCTGAAATGACCGCACTTGTGGTGGGAGCTGCTTTCAAGCTGTGCAATGTTCCAGATGCATATTAGATTAAAGGTGTGTAATTGATCATAGATAATGGCATTTGAGGGCTAGCAAAGATCTTAATTTCCCCTCATGTCTTCATTTTATAATTTTGGAAACTGAGGCTCAGAGAAGTTAATAACTTGCTTAAAGTCACGCAGCTAAGAGTGGCAGAGATTGGGCAGGAAACAAACTTCCTGAATTCCATTTCATTCCAGTATGTGGTTTCCTCCCACTGTACCACATCTCAAAAAGTTGAGAATTGTATGTTTGGATATTTACTCAGATTTGTGCCCTTACACAGTGAATTTGAGCTGACTTGCCAAATACTTTAAATACAATTTAAATAGGAAATGTAAAAAGGAAATGTGCCCATGGAAAATGTAGACTAGGTGAAGGGTTACTGTATTGTCCGTGGGATCCTGCGCTGTCACTAACCTCATGCTGCAAACTTGGTTCTGAGCTTCCTGAGCCAAAGGGAAACATGATTGGCTACAGGATTGATATGGGCAAAAAGGAAAATTCTGTCAGTTCCTCAAAGGAAACAAAGCTTTTTGGCATTGGTTTTTGCACAGGAGACAGCCAAGAGCTTACAGATTTAATTACGTGTTTGTTAAGGTAATTCCTATAGTTGTAGTTACATATAAACCCCAAATCTCAGGGGCTTAATAGTAGAAGTTAATTTTAGTTCATGTAAAATCCAAAACTGGTGTCTCTGAGTGGTGGGCAGACCAACTTGCAAAGGTGCTTCAGGAGGCCAGGCTTCTTCCCTGTGGCTCCACAGTCTTCAACACGAGGCTTTCAAGGTCACCTTCAAAAGAAACGAGCACAGGCTTGGTACACGGGAGAGTTGGATGGCCAGCCTGGAAGTGCCACGTGACACACAGCCGTGCCCGGCTGCTTGGGAGACAGAGACACAGTCTGGCCACATGCTGGGGAGAGAAGCCCTGGGTTTATGAATAGCTAGCCCTGCCTGCCACCACCTGTGTGCCTCTGAAGGGTTCCCTGTCAGCTGGAGTCCACATGGCCGAGTCCCTGGCCCCAGGCTCCTTCGCCGGGCAGCAGCTCTTGACCTCCGCAGATTGAATTGACCCCACCTCCTTAAGTCCCCAACAGTAGGACAGACCCATCTCCAGATAGCATGATGGCTGTGTGACTTTTTTCCCAATAGACTTGGAATTTCTTAAAAATAGGCATGAGTCTTATTTATCTCTAGCACCAACACCTAATGTGGTGCCCGGCCATCATAGCTCACACACTTTCAATTACATTGATTTGAAATGAATAACAAAATGTTGATCCACATTACACAAACCTCACACTCTTGATATAATTTCACACTCTCATCTGGAGAGTTTAAGATAAGAGGCAAGACAAGAATCTCTGTACTTGACTTTGGGACTCATTTGTGGGGCTGGGGTGGGACGAGAGTGTTAGGGTCTTGGCAACAGATTTGCTTTACTAATTGCATTTTGTTCCAGGGAAAACAGTTTGGGTTTTAAAAATAGACCACGGGGCATACTGCATACAGATACAGATGCCCACATACAGATAATTGGGTGTTTATGTCACTTTGGAGAAGAAAAAACTGAAATAATACGGTAAGCTTTTGATTTTGAGTGATTATACATTTTCTTTCTTTTTTTTTTCTTTGCAGTGCTGTATCGAAAAGGCCCTCCGTTTTACCACGCAAGGTTTGGAGTGATTGTTAAATAAGTTAATGGCTTAAAGGGACACAAGGAAATTTCTGGCCTTCACTTTAATTTTCAGTGCCACAGAAACAATTAGAGTCATGCTCCTCTTGGCCTGATGGGGATAGATCCTATATGTCTCTGCCTTAGACACCAACATTGTTATACTATATGTAAAATAATAAGTAGATTATGATAATCTGTGTTAATATTAAACACTGAGTTAATCTATGTGGTAATTGTTAATCTTAATATCATCAAGTGTTAGTATCTGAACAGTTGAGTCTTAATATCATCAAGTGTTAGTATCTAAACAGTTGAGTGAATTCATAGCTTTCCTATTGGGAGAAATATTTCTACTCCTTTCCTGTAAGTGTTGAAATCAGCCTGAAAATTTGTAACGTAAAATGTGAGTTTTTCATTAATATTTGCTCAGTGGCAATAGAGGGGAATTTAGGATCAGATGATGTATATTTTATTTTCTGTATCTTTGTTCTTGGTAAGACAAACCGTATTCTTTTTATCTGTGCTTTTATTCCCGCTTTCATTGATGTCATGCTTTTTTTTTAAAGTGCTCTTTGTGTGTTTTCCAGTTACTCTGTCATTATTGAGTTAGTCGACGACCATTTTGAGGGCTCTCTTCGCAGACCTTTCAGTTGGAAGTCACTGGCCGCCTTGAGCAGAGTTTCGGTTAATGTGTCCAAGGTAACACATCATCTTTGGCATTCAGGTGTTGCTTAAATGGTTGGATTTTTTTTTGTTAAATGTAGTAGAATGAGAAAAGTCATTTGTAGGAACGTCCAAGTTCCTGCCAGTGAAGTTTGGAAGGTTGAGCTAGAAGCTGTCCTCCTTCACGCCCGCTCCCACCACCAAGTGGTGCTAAGCCCCAGGAATTGAGCTTTGAAGTTTCCTGTAGTGATTGATGTAGGTGGGCATTGCCTTCCTGCCCAGGGGGGCCGCCGGTAAGCACAGCCAGCGCATGCTCAGAATTCCCTCAAACACATCCAGAAGGAGTCAAAACATTGACACATTTCTTTTCAACGTTAGCAGATCTCTTGAGAGAGGAAGGGGATTAATGTTTATCGCTAAACACTTTACATGTTTTCTTAGCACCCTGTTATCCTCATCCTAAGGGTGAGGAATCAGAGGATCAGAAATGTGCAGTCACAGACTGATGATCATGCAGCTCATAAGCAGAGCTGAGATTCAGACCCAGAGCCATCTGACTTCTAGCTTGTGTTCCACTGTATCCTGCTGCCATCAAGATGGGAGGGAAGTTTCGTCTTATACCAGGATGATTAGGAATGAAAGCTTTGTGTGTTCTCTGTTATTCAGTGATTTGCTAACTGGAAACAGATTGTGGGCCCCTGCAACTCTGTCCTACTGCTGCTGGAGGCGTGGTGGGAGGGGAGGCCAGAAGGCCCAGCAGGGGCCAGATGACAACTGTCTTGAGGGCAGGTTAAGTTGCTTAGGCTCTAGCCTGTAAAAAGTAGCTTTGTCCTATAGAAATAGGGAGTGTGTACTCTTTCTAGTATTTTTATGCCCATTTTATGGGATTTGTCGCATATATTTAATATTTTGAATGCTATGTTTATAATCAGTATATCTACTTGATTTGCTTTCTCTTGCCACATCAGCAATGATAAATGGCAGGTCCTTAGTCTAGAACACGAGCCCAGTTAGGACGGTCCCAGGAGGAAACCGACGTGCCTTGTGAGTTTGCACTCTGTGATGTTTCCAGGAGCACTCAGGGAGGGGGAGTAAAGACTGCCTGCATTTCCTGCTGACACACCCAGATTTGTATTATTTTGTGGGATATGGAGATTGTTTTTCATTTCTCAATAGGAACTTATGCTGTGCTATTTGATTAAACCCTCTGCCATGACTGACAAAGAAATGGAGTCACCAGAATGTATGAAAAGAATTAAAGTTCAGGTGAGTGAACTCAGAGACAGATTCACATCATCCCAAATATTCTGTCCATCGTACTGAACCCTCTGGGACACATGGTCCCAAGAGAAGAAATGAGAATAAGCTCACCTTGGTACAGGCAGCCCTCTCGGGCCCTTCCCCCGCTGAACCCACTCCCACTCCCCCTTTATTCCTGCTGCTTCTGTCCCTGTGACGTCGTCTGGTTGCCATCCCCACCACGCAGCTGAAACTGCTCTCACAAATGGCCTGGGACCTCGCAGCCACGCCCTCTCCTGGGTCTCATTCCCAGAGACTAGAAGGGTCGCCGTTGACTCCCTTCCTCCCTGAACTTCTCGTCTGGCTTCTGGGATGCTGTGTTGAGCCTAGTCTCCCCCGGTCTTCCTGGCGGATTTTTCTCTGCCAGGGCGTCCCAGTTCATCGTCCAGCCCCTCCGTGTTAATATTTCCGCCCCTCACCCTGTCCTTGACTCTTCCCCCACATCCAGCACGTCGTCGTTTCTCTTCATCCCTAACGTCTCACTCTTCTTCCTTGTTCGCACCGCCCCGTCCCACTACAAACCTGATGGCCACTCTCCAAGGCCCCAGTGCCTCACCCCCGCAATTCGGCCTGCTCGTCCCCACCAGGTTAGCTTTTCATAAAACGCCAGTCCAGATCCACATCTCCCGTGTCAGTGCTGACCTAGATGGACCAGCGCCATCTTAGACCCTGGGGTTAAATAAACCTAAGACATCTTAGGCTCTGGGGTTAAATACAGGCTTTCTTACTGGCACTCCTGATCATGAAATGTGCTCTAGAACACCACAGCTGAGGCAGGTTTCACGTTACAGTCTGTGTGTGATTACGGTAGATGCTGTTTGCACGTGAGGTTTGTGTTGCTATATTCACGTTTTCTTCACAAGCTTCGGTTACAAGGGATGGGAGCGGGTGTTGTCATTGTATAAACAGCTCTTTGAGCAGTGTAGCTGCAGTGTCATATGCCTGGCGTGTTCTTTCATTTCTGTGTGTGAAATTCAGTCGCCTTTTTGTTTGGATCCGCTACAGGAGGTGATTCTAAGCCGTTGGGTTTCTTCGCGCGAGAGGAGTGACCCAGAAGAACTCTGACAGTTCTGCCCCTGATTTCACCAGTGGATACTTCCTGAGTCTCCCATGAGAAGCCACGTTTAGGGCGAGGTCAAGAGTCCTTTTATTGTAATTGCCCAATAATTTAAAAGTTTTCCAGGGCCTGGGGCTCCCAGCACCAGAAAACTGTTAGTGTTTTAAAAGATACCATTAGCCAGGGGAAAAAGAAGAGCCCTGAGCTGGACTTGCGATCCTGTCCTTGAATCTGTCCCTGACTCTGCTTGACCCTGAGCTTCTCTCCTGTGGGCCTCCGTCTGTGTCCTCATCCGTCCACCCAGGACGCTGGACTAAATGAGTCCCAAGAGGACTCTTTCAGCAACAATGAAATTCTGTTATTCTCTGATTTTGCCTGAAAATGATAGCAGTTTACATTTATGCGGCACGCCACAGTTTCCAAAGCATTTTGGTACATATGCGTCTCTTGTTACCCATATCCAGTCCATTCCTGAAAGAGTGCAGAGAGCAGATTTTGGGCCTGCAGGACCCTATGTTCCATTATTTTAAATGGAAAAAATAATTTGTCTCAGCTTGTCCAAGAACTTCAACCCATCACTCAAACACTTAAAAATCCATTTAATATCTACCAAGGATTTCTGTATCAGAGAGAGCACTTAAAACATCAATTACCAATTATTTATTTCTCAGTGACCTCAGTGGTGGGCATGTTTGTGTATAATGCACAACAATATTGTACAACATTAGATAAAAATTGCGTCTTCAGTGAACGTGTTATAAAAATATGTGGAGAAATAACGTAAGAAGATGCATAATGAACGTAACTAACATTTAGTAAAACACAGGAAACAAAGCCTTTTTTAATTGGTTAGATATCAATGAAGAGTTGACTGAGGGGCTGTGTTTGCATACAAGAGGAGGGGATGGACGGAGGACATGGTGGCAGGGGAAGACAAGCAAGAGGGGCCCGTGACATTATGAGGGAAACAAGTGTCAGAGGTTCATCCAGTGTCCCAATCAAAGGCATGCAGACAGTCTTTTCCTCGGCAGCCAAGACTCCAGAGGTGGATGGCTAAACTATCCCTAAAAGCTGCGAGATGAAAAAACCAAAATGGGCATCGTTTGCGTTCCCTTGATGCGTGATCGTAGAGCTCCTGATAGCCTAAGATTCTGCTTATAGACGTGTGTTTTAACACGGTGCTTCTGTTCACGTCATGATCCTGTTCTCTTGCGACAAAATCATTATGTTTGCGTGATCTACATTTTAAATATTTGACGCTCAAATAGTGGAGCTCCTCTTCCTCCCCTGCCTCAGACCAATAATGACCATTGGTTTGAAAGAGCTTCTTAGCAGTAAGTTGTTTGCTCTTCATTAGTGATGCTAATAGTTCTTCAGCGTGTTTACTGTCCACTTTGCTTACCCCAGGCTCCTTAGCAAAGTAAAAGACTTTGTTTTGAATCACCACCTTCTCAAAACCTTTGAAAGTCAGCAAAAAATTTCAGGAGCCATTTCTTCCCTTTTTCATTCATTGTTTGTGGTGACACTTTCCAAGCCTAATCAGTGCATCCACTGCCTTTGTGGTAAAAACTCTTCCATGAATCCTCCTCAAAGTTCTGTCGTTCTGTCAGCACTCCACATAAAGTACTTTGTCGTCAGCTAATATGCCTTGCAGGTCGTGGTGACTCTGTGGTATCAAGACTACAATAAAGATGCAGAAAAACCACAAGACTGCACAGATATTACTTTTAACTGAAGGCTCTAGAAGAATGTCTAAAAGCATTATCTTTAGTCAAAGAAGCCTTGTATCAGAGGTTTTCCTTCTTCACATATAGGGTTTGCACACCATGTAGCAGGCCGTGCACTCTGCAGCGCTACCCGAGGGCCAGGGTTCTGGAGTGATACGCCAGCACAGGCTTTGGTTTACATCAGTCACCCTCACAGCTTCCAGCTGAAAGCAGTATTAGCTTATCTGTGGACTTAGGTCCTGGCTCCTTTTTCTTGCCTTCTGAAATAAATGTACAAGATGGCATTTGTTTTCAGAAAAAGCTCAGATTCATCAGGATTGGAAATTTGTGATAAAACCACCGTCAGGAGTCGCTGCATTTCACTGGAGGAGGTGCTGCACCCACACTCTTCCAAGTGTCAGGCTTACATGTTCTTAAATCTCTCGAACCTTCCAGACTTGCTTTAAAACTGAAATCCTCCACCAAATCATCTCTTTCTTCCATCACTTTTCCAACTCTCCCGAAGTGTTCAGATCTCCCACTGTACCAGTGTGTGCTTGGTGGCATCATGCTGACTGGCTGCGCGTCCTCCATACAAGAATTTAACTAGTTTTATAAAAATAGCACACCATGCTCAAGAACACTGAGAAACCTTGTGGAATCAACACTTTTCACAAGTGATATTTTGTCACCCAATGCAAAAAAAACACAAGAAATGGGGGGGACACGTGTTTGGCCAGGATTATCTCTCTTACGTGATCACGTTTCTCAGTACAGTATCACTTCTGTTTTTCTAACAGGCAGTTTCCTAGGCCTCTCAAACTCACCTGCTTCACAGGCTTTTCCACTTCTGTAGGAGACGTTTTCACTTCAAGTGGGGAGAATGAGGTAATGATAGGCCACATGTCCGAACAGCACAGGCACTGGCGTCTGCTAAGAGCGGTGTGTGTCGTGTCCTGTCCGGTTCAGGTGCTCAAGCTGAGTGACTGTGCTGCAGGCTCGTTGTTTTTCATTTGGAGAGCCAACATAGGGTAATGTTTTTTGCACATCGTTGTAGCAAATACTCAGATAGTGGGAGTTGAGATGGGACAGCTACCTTTGTGTTCTCATCCCACAACAGCTTTCTGAGTTCAGGTCATGGGCTCTCCATAGGAGGAAAGTTTGAGGCTCAGAGATGTGGCCGCCATACGCCACTGCCGGGGTGTGCAAGCAGAGGACTTGACCCGAGCTCTCTGTAACTTTACAAGATCACCACAGCTGAAGTGACACCAGCCTAGAAAATCACATGAGGTTGGAAACACAGCCCTGTTAGGCCTTGTCTGGGCGGAGGTTAAAGAGGAAGGCTGCCCACGGTGGGACCGGGTATGTGCTGGCACGGTTGGGGTGCAACCTGAGGCTCCTGTCACCAGGAACAAGCTCGTGCATGTGATTTTGTATCCAGGGTCCTGAAGTTCACAAATTCTATGAGGACCATCTGTGGATCCCGGGTTAAGAACCTCGGTGCAATGGGTGGTTCTTAGCTTTTAGTTTCTCCAGAGAATTTTATTGAAGGCTAGGCAGTGGAGTGAGCCTTCTAGAAAGGAACCATTCAAATCTCAGCTCTGCCTCTCACTGGTTATGTGACGGGTGATTTCACTTGCCCTCTATGAGCCTCAATCTTATCTCTAAAATGGGGCCAGTGGTAATATTGACCTCATTATGTGGTTGTGTGGCTAAAGGAGGAGAACTCAAAGCACCTGACACGTAACAGTTGCTCCTCCCTTCCCGGAAGGAGTGACTCAAACCCACCAAACTGGCGAGAGTCCGAGAAGACAGTGTCGATCAATTTATCTTCAGAGCTAAATCTGGGTGGAGAACCAAAATGTGCTTGTGGAAGGTAGGCCCCTCTGATAAATGCAGGCCTTGTTTGTGCACAGAAAGTGGAGAGAGGGAGGAGGACATTTGTTGGGGGCCTTCCGTGTGCCAGAGGGGCTGCTCTGTCGACGGAGCGAGCTGGACTACTGTTGTCTGCCTTCTGAAGAACCCACAGGAGACTCGGGCAGTCACCCTTGGAAGGTGCAGGACCGGCCCAGGGGGCAGGGGGGCACAAGTAAATGGTTCCGGAACTGCAAGCCTGCCCTGCCTTTGAGGCGCCCCCTCCTCAGGTTAGAGCTGGGAGCTTACAGTTTTCAGGATTTTTAAACTGTTTATGAGGCTCTGGTTTTGGCTTCAGGCTTCAGCAGTTCCTTGGGCTCTGATTGTCCTTGGGTGAGAGCAAGATGGTTACACGCTTGGTTTGAAGTCAGACCCAGGTTTGCATCCCAGCTCATCCACTTACTGGTTGTGCCATCCTAACCTTAGTTTCCTCGTCTGTTAAATGAAGTTGATGTTATTAGTGTACACGTACAGTGGAATATTATTCAGCCACAAAAAGAAATAAAGTACTGGCACACTACAACATGGATGAACCTTGAAAACATTATGCCAACTGAAAGAAGCGAGTCACAGAAGCTCACATATTATGATTTCCAGTTATATACCCCAAATAGGTAAATCCATAGAGAACACAAATTGCTGGTTACGGGGGTTAGGGCGAGAAAGGAATGGGGAGCAACTTGTTAATAGGTACAGAGTCTCCTTTTGGGGTGATGAAATGTTTTGGAACTAGAGAGAGGTGGTTGCACAGCATTGTGAATGTACTAAATGCCACTGACTTGTTCACTTTAAAATAGGTTTATATACTGTGAATGTGACCTCCATCAAAATAAACAAATAATATAATAAGAATGTTCTCGACCCCAGCGGGTTTCTGGAGGATTATGTGGGTCGGTTGATCCTTACAAGGTGCTTAGCACAGTGCCTGGTCCCTAAGACCCTCTCAGTAATTTGAAGCTGTGATGATTCATTTTGGGGGAGGAGGAGGCCCCAGTGTCCTAAGAACCACCATTGACACCCTCTGATGAAGGTGGTTACTGTGCAGTTGGTCGTTGCATGTTGATCCTCTTAGCTTTGGTGTTAGAGGCTCACGTTTTCTGATCTCATCCCCAGACTATGAAGGGCAATGGTGACATCTGTGCCTTCACTGTCCTGGGTTCTCTCTTAAAGAAAGTCACCTCTAGGAGGTAATTAGCTCGTATGTAGCACTTGGCAGGGATTAACCGACGTGCAGGGGACATGGTTTTAGGCCAGTTTACCAGGCTAGAGCTGGTTAGGTTTCCCTACACTTTTGAGCATAGTGTACAAATCTGAAAATTCATTGTTACTCATTGAATAAAGTTTTTATCTTAATTATTTTATCTTTGCATTTTCATTTTCCCTTTTAAAAAGTTTCCATTTACTTGAATGTGGTTCTTAACTTAATGTTCCCCTTGTGGGGAAGTACTTGGGTTAACAGGAAATGAAATGTCTCTCCTCCCCCCCACCCAGCTTCCATGTATGATTTCACCAACTTTAGTGAAGTTTTAAAAATCTAGTTACAGACTCAGATAATTACCCCCTGCATGTTAACTTCCTT